GAATCTAGAGCTGTTTAATCGGTCTTTGCCGTGCATCCAGCCAGATGGAGGTGCAGGATGGAGGCTTGTTGGTCTTTGCTCGTCACCATTCTGTAAAATGGAATATTCAAGAACGGCTCGTTTATGGAATGTATAGAAGAGGACTTGCAGTAAGTAATGGCACAGATCCTGTTGACATCGAAGGCCTCATTTTTTATCGAGAACCTGAAACGGGCCTTTGCCACAACTTTTGCCGCACCCTGTAGATGGAAAACCTGATCAATTGGTTGTCGCTGCACGAATACGAAAAATTCGAGAATTCCAAAAAAAATTTTGTTTAAATTCCGCTGATGGTGCTAACCAATTCACTTTTTTTACTTTACTAGTTTATTAATGAAGTCAGAGTCAGCATTGCTCGTTCGTCCATATTTGGAAAAGCAGACGTCATCAGAGTTACACGCCATCATGGCCAGTGGTTTCTCATGCATTGCCGGATCGTTGTTCGCTGCCTATGTCTCTTTTGGTGCCTGTCCAAAGTGAGTGAAGGTTTTGGATTCGAGTAGATCAATTCTGTCTGAGGGATGCACCCACGCATCGACTTCCACTCAGAATCGTCGTGGCCTATTGAATGGTATATGTACAAGACAGTGCTTTTATCTTCTCACACGTGTCTGGTGCCAGTTGACCGACCCCGGAGGTACGGAAGGTTTGGTTGGCCTAGACGGATATCGCTCCGGGGATCCGAACCCATGATTATGCGTGTGGTCACCGGTTCGAATCTTGCACCTTTGACTTTCAGCATGTTGTATTGTGTAAGGGTGTGGGTACTGTATCTCTATATCTGCCTCAAAGAACCTCTCCTAAAAGGAATATGTCACACCCATGAAGTCACCGTTCGCGACAACGTTCGGGTAACTGGTTCCAGACGAATAATGGAAGTGAGAAGAAGTGCAAAACACAGCGAAGGTAACGTGAAGAACGGCATATTCATAAGAATATAAGGCCTCTGAAAGTAGTGAAATCAGGGGTCTTACGAGAATTTGACGACAAAAGTTGCATGGGAGGGGTATTTGGACGAGCTGCCTAAGTGTGTGTACTACTGCGTATAGCTAGCTACAGTAAGCTGCATGCGCGCAGCAACAGCAGCAACGTGTGCGTCTCGTTGCGAATGGTGCAACCTTTACAGCCTCTACAACGCTGTGAGAACTCGTCCACCTTCGGGTGTGTACGTCAGCTAAAGCGAGTTTGAGACCTTATTACGTCCTATCCAAGCCGTTTTTCGACCCCCCTCCCCCCAACGTCTCTTGTGCTATTCTTGGGGGTCATAGGTTCATTCTAAAAAAATCTCAGATAGCATTTCCATCGTGAGCCGTGTCTCCAAAAGGGTGTCTTTGACGGTAGGCAAATTCTACAAAATTCCCCATATCTGTGCCTTTGAAATAACCATTTCTGCATATTAATTAAGTAATTGTTAATCCATAACTTGATACTCCAGTAACCATCATGCCCAGCTCAGTGAGCATGTTCCTTTTCCATTCAGATACCTCCTCTCCTCTTCTGTTATGTCAGCTCCTGCTTCACTGGCATTTGCAAAGATAATAGTCCCGGAAACCGAAGAGAGCCAATCACGGAAAGTTTCGGATCTCGATCTCCCATCCAGGTAAATCCGTACAACGAGCTTCTATCCATGGAACACCACGTTATCCTTCTTGGTACTGTTTGGTTTGACTTGATGGATCGGTACAACTGCTGATTTTTGATTGTTCACGATCCAAAGAACTCATAGTATGGGCTGAGGGGAACAATTTGGTCTGCAATGGGACGTGAACCTGTAGATGCCCTTTAAAGGCACCACACTCTTCAATTGTTACCTTGGATTCTGTTATGTACTCTGTGTCGCATATTTATTAATCAACCAAATAATATTTTACAACTCTAAGAAACTCGGACGCAGAGCCTTAACAAAGAAGTTCACCTCACGAATGCAGTTTGGTTTTCTTAAAGTAATGTCCAGTCATGAACAGCAATACTTGCTTTAGTGAAGAGGACAATCCTATAGAATCCATCTCGAACGGAGCCATTGCTGGAGTCCACATTGTCGTTGCTATCGCTGCGAACCTCGTCGCTGTCTTAGCCCTACTCGCCCTGGTGGACAGTATCCTATTCTACTTCGGAGATCTCCTAGGTTACGGGCCATGGAGTTTGGAGGTGCTCGTTTATACTTTGCTATTCAAATTTATCACAAGAATATGCCAAATTATTCAGAATCTGCTCCAGTATTTGATGTTTCCTGTAGCATTTGTTATGGGAGTAATTGGAGATACTCAAGAAACTCTAGCTGTTGCTCGTTTGATTGCCACAAAAACCGCTGTGAACGAATTCGTGGCGTATCGGAATCTGGGTGAAATGATCTCGGATAGATCGCTACAGATCAGTGTAGGTTCCGTGATTCCGGATGTTCGTTCAGCTCAAGCTACAAGAAGCTATAAGTAGCCAAAGTTGACCTCGAATATGCTTTCAGCCTCGATCAGCCATGATTGCCACCTATGCACTCTGTAGTTTTTCCAATCTGGGCACTGTAGGAATAGTAATGGGAGTATTGGGTAAGCGCTCACTTCTTACTGGATTCATGGTTGCATATCAAATGAAAATTTTTCAGGAGGCATGGTTCCGTCTAAACGTCACATTCTTGCTCGCATGGTGTTCCGGGCGCTAATTTGCGGATGTGTTTGCTGTCTCTATACAGCTGCTCTAGCAGGTAGGAAACTTCGTTCCCTCATTCAGGGGATAGGATCAAAGCAGATTACAGCACGAGTACTTCTTTGACGAGGATAAAACAATTGGTGGTCGCCCAGTTATCTTTCTGATACATCGTGCAGAAAGCATTTTAACAATATTTCCGAGTTGTTGAAAGGCCGCGTCTAACCACACACCAACTCTTCATCGACATTCGCTTCTATGAATTTCTCAGAACTTAAAATCAATTCAAATTGAATTTGATTTTATGTAAGAAAAACTCGTGTAAAAAGCCTGAGCAGTCTCGAGGTAGGGTCAATCCCGGCATCATGTATAGAGGAGTCGCGCCTTTCGCCGCTGCCTTACCAGCCTCCGTTTCTAGCGGATTGCTTTCAAATGCAGACTAATTGCCAAATGGCAAATTGTATAATACATTAGAGAGAATCTATCAAAGCTCAGTTCTGATCCCCCGTTTCCATAATAATTATAGGTTGATGCATAATGATTGCCGATTTTTTTGCAGTTTCTTTTCTCTCGATGCAACTTGAATATTGAATTCGAGTTTCAATAGAATTAATCCTCTTGCTTTCCTTAACAAAAATTTGTCTAGAAACTCATCTTCATATTTGCCACTTATTTCTACTAAAGGATAAAAGGATAAAGTTTTTGGAGTTAATCAACCCCGTCTGAGGGATGCGCCCCCGCACTCAACTTCCATTCAGAATCGTAGTGCCGTAATGAGTGCGTATGGGACCTTTACAATGACTTGCGGTGGCCAGCCGATGTACAAGTCAGTGCTTTTATCCTCCCAGAGAAGTCTGGTACCAATTAACCGACCCCGGAGGGATGGAAGGCTTGGTTGGCCTAGGCTGGCATCGAACCGTTATTCAAACCCCTGACCGTGCGTGTGATATGGTGCGCCACTTGCCACTACACCACCTCCGCCCCATTATTTCTATTACTTTGAGAAAAGCTGGAAAGTGGCACAATTATAAAGTGATCTCAACGAACTATTCGGCGATAGAACAGTCAGCCAAAGCCGATTAAAAAATGGGATCTGCTTCCACGGTGCCCCGTACGCCAGAAACTCCTATGGATCATCACGTCAATCGTACGTTGAAAAATGGGCAGGCGAACGGAACTTTCGAAGAGATGGATGGCTTGACGTCAAGGCGTGGATTACCTCCAAGAAACGAAACTTCATCGCTTGTAGAATCCGAGTGCCTAGCAAATGGCAAGCAGTGTTTGACGTAGATGGTGGATATGTTCCAAAGCAATTATTTGAGCATGTTTTTGCTAGGATTTCTATCGTTTCTTTAAGTAAAATTTGCTGAAAAAAAATCCGCAATATTTATGCATCAACCTAATACATATGAGGCAGCATTCATCTTTGCTATTTCCGAAAATTATTAGTTCGAACCTTTATTATCTAAAGGGTTGTTAGGTATTCGGAAAACCTTGAATTCAGCCAAGTTAAATGTGATACAATTGTTGAATAGGTCTCTCACCTCCCCCCTCCCCGTTCTGGCAAACTCAATACATATAGTAGTGCATCTGCATAACAAATTTTTTTCTGAAAATAAGCCCTCCGAGAAAGGACAATGTACAGCTACAAAACAGACGGACGGACAATCAAGTACGCAATAATTCCATGAAGTAGGATTTCCTTAGAAGTCCAACATCTGAAAATACTACATGTCTGCAGAAAGTGCTCACAGGAAAAACCCTACGAACATTCCATTACTGAGCCTGAATATAAAATAGCTAATCTGATGATGGAATCTGATATTCAGTCTCGAAAACTTTTGAGGAATGATGTGTCTGAGTAGCATTTTGGCCATAGCCTATGTTTGAATTGAGCTCGTGTAGAGTAACTGGTGATATCGGAGGCCCAACTAGGTATGACACAGTTTTGCAGTCTACTTACAGGGGCCACAGACCATTCTACCTATTCTTATCTGATGTCATGGGTATATTGAGGTGCCAGAAATCTTCTGGTTTAAAAAGCAATTTTTGAGTAGAATCGCTATTAGCACAGCAATTATCCCTCTCAAATTTTTGCAAGACTGCCAAGACTGATTTCCATCAGATTCCGCAGATAGAATTTGTAGGCGCCCCCACAACTAACAATAGTTTTTTGAGTGTTTTTTTTTTCAGTACTTCACAGTCAATGCAACATTATAACGCCTAACAATGAGGAGTTTCTGGCTCTATACGCGTAGCCGAGCCGATTTTTGCAACAAAAAATAGCCCCAATTCCAAAACGTATTGCAAAAGAGCTCTTTGCCATGAATGGAAAGTCATCCTGTGCCTATCACGTCTTGCCTTCCTTCCACCTCTTTCCCTCATGGTTGAAGACAAATAGCAAACTTCGGTGTGGTATGCATGGTTCGGACGAGTTTTCATGGGCTATGTCGAAACATGGGCTAATTGTAATTCTTATGAAGAGAGTATTATAGTTCTTGAACACGAAGAACTAGGAACCGACTGCAGTCATGAAGTTTTTCCTGACTTCTTCGGGCTGAGGGATTCGTTTCCTCCTCCTTGCACGTGGTTGCAAAGGTGCACCTGTAAAATATGCGCATTTATATGATGAATAGTAGTTAAAACTTTGAAAAGGTTGAAACAATAAGCAAAATTTGGCTCTGAACATGAATTTATGGTATTTTCAGGCGTTCTCGTGGGTGAACCGCTTCACTGCCAACCTTCTTCGGCGGCTACTGCATGTTTCGATACATCGAAAGCGGTCAACTCTTCTTTATTGCAAGGATTATAACTATTCCGCTCTCTCAACTGTAATTTATAATAAAAAATACAATCTTTCTAATTCACCTAACTCATAAGCACTGTTGTCAACACATGCCAGAACATACGTTATTTACTTATTTGCTAGAAATCTCTGGGGAAGTTCAGCTCAGATTGCTCAGAAAAATGCACGGAAGTAGTGCGAATGATAAAAAATTTAAAAATGAATACAACGAATAATTTAATGCACAGATTCGGCTAACCGGGCCACTTCTTCTTCTCAGCATTAATTTTGTGTCGTTGCAAGATCCGCTGTTCTTGTAGGTTGATCCCACTATCCCTTACCTGAGACTCCCCATTGTGGCTCATCATGATCCTCAAATTACTTTATTTCCCTATTTCCCTTAAAAGACTGAAATCAATAACAGCGGAGAAGAAAGGCTTAGGTAACAAACAAAAATAGATACAGTAATGCATTACAGAATGCCACGTGTGTCAAAGACTTAATACCTTAATACAGTATCCATGTTTCCCAAAGTGCTTTTCTCCACAACTGTAGGTCAGGATTCTGGACGATAGCTGCTTGAACTGCCGACATATCTGCTCTATTGTGAATGGCGCAGGCTCTACAAGGCATTAAAACACGGTCATTCCTAGGTGTGGTATTCGAAGAGGGCAGTTTTTGAGCGGTCATTGTGTATAATCTAACCCGTTTTTCGATCTGACAACCCCCCACCATACTTGGAGACGAGAGCTTCATCGTAGTAGAAAGTCTCGGAAGCCAATCTTTATTGTGTATCACTCAACACCGCTTATTGTACGGATACCTTCCCTCAACAAGCAGCTGTAGCAGATTGGGATATTAATTTGGACAGGACTACATAGGTTTTTGGGCCAAAGGAACTTAAGAGCAAGCAGCTATTAATCACTAAGAAAGCTTGAGTGCAGACTTGCATGTACACCAACAGTGCCTATTTATCAAAAAGGAACGGAGATAATTCTTCCAAGTCGTTTTTGTAATAGATTTATGTCTTGTCCCTTTTTCATTCCGCTCATTTCAGGAGAGAGATTGATATACTCAGTATTAGTTGCGATCAAAAACCAAAGCTATCTCTGATGAATCACCTGATTAATTTCGACTGAATAACCGATAATTAATTTCCTCAGGTCCTAATTCCTCAGGTAATGATGGAGACGACAATATGTGACATCATATATGATCTATGTAGCCCTCTAATGAATTACTAGATATGGGCGTAACGAAGTACGTCCGTTATTTTTAGACTGCACCTTTGCAAAGCTGACATTCATCATATGAGCCTGGCTGCAATAAAATCTGTTCATTAGTCAGGAGTCACTATTCTTGGATAGCGCCTGAATACTCTGCTGACTTTCAAGGATACTTCCATTAAAGGCACAGTTAAAGATAAAAATGGTTTCTGAGGTTCCCCCACAGGATGAATTGGAAGCCCCGCGTATATCATATCTGGCACTACTAGGTAGGAAAACGGCCTAGTTAGGGAGTTACAAAGGCTCTAAGACTGGCCCATGTGTATCCTCGGACGAGTTTCACCGACATTGTGGAGGCTGCACCGATCACAAAGAAACCCATGTAGGAAGTTCAAACCTGACCAAACATGACATGATAGCCACAGTGAAAGACACTTCTGTACAGTTCTGGCTTGATGTACAGGGTGGGCCAAAATTATGATTACAGCGCGCGTTGACGTTCATTGCAAATTATTTCTATGTTCGTAATAATTCATTGAATTCCTTCCATTTCACAAAGTAGCTTACGTTGTTACCTTTCTAATGATACTAAACTTTGGGCACATTTTTAACATAATATAAGCGTAACTAGTCCGTGAATTAAACGTAGCTTTGCATTTACAAACATAGGAGTGGTGAACCTAGGAGAGCTGTGGTTATATTTAGGGGAAGTGTCAAGAAAGCAGGGCAAAGGTCTACGTAGCAGCAAAATT